CAATAAAGGATGGAGAATCCTTTCTCAAGAGGGAGATTCCTTTCCCTTTGCACCAGGGTCCCTTGGGAGCAGCAACCGAGAGGCCTCTTGCCCATCTTGGCCTTTCCGGCACAGATACAGCCGGCTGCTCAGTTGCTGCTCCCAAAGTATCTGGATGGCAAAAGGAGCAGACACCAAGCCTGGCTGTTTGGGATTTGCAGGAGGAGACCCAAGATCCAGAGATGGGATGTGTGTGCTAGGGTTGTCATCAAAAACGAAAGGGGGTGGTACTCCAAAAATGTTTGGGGACCACTGATCTACACTGTAGAGATCATGCCGTTCGATACCACATTGGCTGCTGCAGCTAAATCTTCCAGGATCCTGGGATTTGTAGTTTGGTGAGGCACCGGTAGAGACTTTCGTAAAAGGCCATGATTACGATCCCCCTCCAGAGCTGCTTGGGGAGTAGGCAATCTATTCTGCCATTGATAGAGCTGTCAATAAATGATGTATTTGTCAGGTTTGTGGGGTTTCTCAGCCCAAGAGAAGTGACTTAGTTAAGTCTTCAGGATTCTGGCCAATAATTCCTGCCATTATTGGAGGGACAGGTAGGTACTTGCAAGGATGATGGTATCTCAAGGGAGGCTGGCATTCGCCCGAAGGCATGGGGCAAAAGAGGGCAGCATGGCACAGTTAACCAAGCCTTGTTCCTCTCCAGCAACGGGTCAGAGATCTCGGGAAAACAGAGGAAGAGCAAAAGGAAAATGTCAGAACAGAAGAAATCCCAGAGTTTGGAGGAGCCGGTTGGGGAAAGATTTCGTAGTGGACACAATCCGCCTTTGTCCCGGTGAGTCTCAGCATCGGGTAGCCTTCTTGGCCCTGACTACAACTCCCATCATCCCTGGCTGAGTGATGAACATGGCAGTTTAGCACTTGTCCAAAGGTCTACCTTATCCAAATTGCTTGGGATCCGAAGTAATCCTCCCTGTGCTGCTAAATAAATGCCACTAGACAAAGGATGAGGAGAAAAGGGGTTTGCAAAATGACTTCTTAAAAAGGCATGTCTTTATCAGAGGCTTTGATGACTGAGCTATGCCTATTTATCATTCAGTTATTAATTGGAGTAAGGCAGCAAACATAGGCGTCCTTATACCCTCATGACAAATTTGCATTCGCACTGCAGAAATAATCCAGATTGGCACCACTTTAACTGCCACAGCTGAATGCTATGGAATGCTATGGAATGCTGGCATTTGTAGTTTTGTGAGACAGTTCGCCTTCTGCGTCAGAGAGCTCTGATGCCAGGACAAACTACAACTCCCAGGATTCAATAGCATGGAGCCAAGGCAGTTAAAGTGGGGTCAACCTGGATTATTTTTGCAGTGTGGATGCAAAGGAAATTATTGGTGCTTCTGTGCTGGTGTGAAACATTTGCTCTGATTATCTCTTCTCTCTTTTTTTTTTCCAGATCTAAAACATATGATCCGTCTTTTTGCAAAGAGGGAGAGAAGGAAGCCAGCTTTGTCCAGCATCGGAACTCGGAGCCCAGCATTTCCAATGTAAGTTTGGGAGTGAGGTGGTTCCCAATTTATAGTGACCCTAAGGAAACCTGGTTACAACAGGGTTTTCTCAGTGAGATGTATTCAGAGGAGATTTGCCATGGCCTTCCTCTGAGGCTGAGAGAGTGTGACTTGCCCAAGGTCACCCGGTGGCTTTCCATGACTGAGTGGGGATTCGAACTCAGGTCTCCAGAGTCATACATAGTCCAACACTCAAACCACTATGCCATGCTGGCTTCCCTATGTTATATAAAACATATGAAATGTCTGCGTCTGCATAATCTCAATTAATTAATTAATGACATTCATTCATTCATGGTATTAATTAATTAAGTAATTAATGCCTAATCCATCTCTCCTTTCCCCAAGCTGATGAAACACACCATCAATTTCCGCCGGGTTTTTAAAGATCTCCCCGAAGAAGAGGAGTTGCTCGAAAGTAAGTTATTTATTCCCTTCCATTCCAACCTGACCATTACGAAATTTAAGGTTTTCCAGCAAACTTCTGCGAGAAAGAACTCCCCGGTTATGGGACCTGGGTTGTGGGATCAAACTGGTATAAACTCTGCCATGTGGAGGCAACCCTTTGTATATGGTGTTGGCCTTTGTTGCTGCATTTCTCCATCCTTTTTGCTAACACCAAGCTCTCCGTTTTTTCCTGCAGCGTTCTCATGTGCCTGGCAAAGAGAAGTCCCTTACCACGGTCGCCTCTACGTCTCCCACAATCATGTCTGCTTCTATTGCAGTATGATCCGGCGAGAAGTGAAGGTAGGAGTGGGAAATAGTGGGACTGAGGATGATGATGATGATGATGATGATGATGATGATGATGATGATGATGATGATGATGATACCAAGGCCCCACTGTACATGAATTGAATATACAATTGGCCCTCTGTTTTCGCGGGGGATCCGTTTCAGACCCCCGCACACATGTGAAAACAGAGATTAATGAATATTCAAGCCCCATAGGCTTGAATGGGCGCGCACCCGCGGGGCGCACTCCATTGATTTAAACAGAAGTCACCCCTCTGTGAATACGTAAAACCGCGGACTTGAAGTCCATGAGAATGGAGGGGCGATTGTATTGTCAATCGATCAATACGTTAAATAAGTTTCAAGTCATTATCAACTTATTACAACTCATGAGGTTTTCTTGGCAAAATTTATTCGGAGGGTGGGTACCATGATGTCTCTGATTTCCTCTTGCTTCTGTTTTTCGGGTTCAGGTCATCATCCCGGTGCCAACCATCAGCGTCCTCAAGAAAGCCAACACGGCCCTTTTGGTCCCCAATGCCATCTGCATCCGAACCGAGGAAGGGGAGAAGGTAAGGTTGTTCACACTGCGTTATAAACCGCTTTGCAAACCGGTTTAAAAGGGAGTCGTTCACGCTTGCGCTGGCTTTTCCAAATTCCAGGAGAGCCGGCGCAAATCCCCCTTGACCTGTTTTTTCCAATATCGAGTTTTTCCCCACGTCTTTTCAAAAGCACCGAGTTTTATCAGGGATCCGCCAACGGGAACTTGTTGCCAATTGCATTTGGGGCATCCAGGAGGGAGGGTTTAATAGCCAGAGGGACGGAGCATATCCCATCCCGCAGGTCTAGATTGGTGGCAAACATCATTTCTGTGCTCGCGCTTAGTTGCCGGCTCTAAGTGGATCCAAATTTCCCGCTAGTGGGCCCTTTAAACAACTGCCCAGCTGTTTTCTGCTTTGGTTCTTGCAACGATGCGTTGCCAAATGCTCAGACGTCGCCAAAGCCCGGGAAGGGGATTCTTTGGGGGACAGGTTTATTTATTTAGTTTAAATATATTTATTACCAGATTGGGTGCACTGTTGCATTTGCGTGGCTTCCACGCGGGGTTCTCCATTCTCTGAGTTTGATTACTTCCTATACATTGCGGGTACCCTTATGCCATCGTCTGAGAGTTCGAGACAGTGTGACTCTCCCACCAAAGGCAAACCTATGGCTGGTGGGTTTTGGGAAGGCTTTCCTCTGTGCGGCTTGACATCACCATCCCATGAGGCTGAGATAGTGTGACTCCCCAAATAGCTACCCTGTCGCTGGGCTTTCGGGCAAAGTTAATTCTGAGGGGCTTGCCACCAGTGACCCCATCAGAGGCTGCCAGGGAACATAGGGAAAAGGTGACAGCGCATGCAGAGCGACGTCTTCTATGACAACGGAAGTAGAATGACGCAGATGCGCATCCTTTGATTGACAGAACCAAAAAAAAAAAAGAACCGGAAATGTTTGAATTTTGAATCGATATTTAAGTCAGTATGAACTTTCATGGGATTAAATTGTACCGGAGGGATTCGATCAGGGTAATTATAGTGGGAACTGCGATTCGGAATCGCAACATCGATTCCTCTCGGATCTCCTCGCTACAAAAATGCTAGTGTTTATGCGGCTGGTAAGAGACAAAGAAAGGTAGGGAGGAGAGAAGATAGTAGCAGAGATCTGGCATTAAACTATATATTTGACGGTGTCTTCCTGCATATATTCACGGTATAATTCATGCCCTTGGTTCTCTCTCCTCCAGTTCCTTTTCTCATCGCTTCGGTCCCGGGAAAGCACCTACCGATTACTCCGTTCCATTTGCAAACACCTCCAGGTAACAACATCCATCTCTGGATTCGGACAAAACTTTGGCTGTTTCGATTTCCCAGAGTGCAAAAAAAGTTCCCTTTTGGGGGGACTACAATGCCTAGAATCCCCCACCACCTAGGGATTCTGGGAATCGGAGTCCAGCAAAGGAACTTGTCATGAATTACAAACCAAAGGGAATGAATTGTGTTCCAGTATATCCCCGCCTTGAGTTCTGCTAGTGGGAGAAAGGCAGGATATAAGTAAATAAAATAATATAATAATAATAA